CGCATATATAACCAAGTCACATGCAGCTGTCCCTGTTGGTGATAACCCTGATCCTGCTGTTGCTGTGGCACCTGTGGCCCCATTGGCGGTTGAGGCACCTCATTTGCATTCACACATGCTGGAACTGCCACAAATGTGCAATGAACTGCCACACATGCTGAAAAAAAACTTCTAAATTAAGGCACCTTGTTTGCGTCCATGTTCGGCCCTTTTGGCATCCCCATTGGCGGTGTTGGTTCCATGTACAACGCCTCAATCACTTCAAATGGCATGACTTGTTTGAACATGCCTGTATACAAGCCAACCAAGTCACCTGATCATCTTGCTGCTGATTCATTTGTTGCACCTCAAGTCACTGACCAAACACGCAGACATGAAAGAGCCACACATGAAACGCACACATGCATCATTTAGACAAGCGCAAACAAATTAAGCCCAGATGCCATTTGTGCAAGGAGGACCGGGTCAAGCACATATGGGCCCATCACCGATGGAGGCATCGCATTCCCTGCAGGCATCATAGGTGTTGGAGGAGGCATTGGTGGATGCATCCCAGCCATCGTCATTGGGGGAGGCACCATTGGAGCTGCAGGCATTGGGGATGTCATCTGGGGCATCATCATTGGCGGAGGCGACGGCATCGGAGCCGCCATCGGAGGTCCCATCATTTGTGGAGGCAGCGGCGTTGGGGCTGTCATCTGAGGCCCTGTCATTTGTGGAGGCAGCACTGTTGGACCTCCATGCATTGGGGCTGTCGTTTGAGGTGGTACACTTGGAGGCGCTGGCCGCTTTGGAGGTGGTGCCCTTGGTGGCACAGTGGATGCTGGGCAGGAAGAGGCAGGTGAGCCAGCTTCTGCTTCCGCAAGCTCATCATAATCAGCTGCCTCTACCTGGGATATTGCCAATATTAATAAGTGCATACACTACCATATACCAAGCGCATGCACTAATAGCCAAGATACCATGTTCCGCATCATGTTGAGAAGGAGCTCTCGGTGCCTTTCCCCTTCCTGAGTCCCCAAATCAGCAACCACCAATGCAGCAACAAGCAAGCACATGCAAATCAACACATACAAATCAGCATATCAAATTATAGCCAAGTCTCATGAAGTTGGCCATCTGCACGGGCAGTCTGGCGATTGGCAATCGTCTGCAGGTTCTCCAGGCCCTGTAGATTGCGAATCAACTCATTGTTGGACTGCAAGGCCTGCACGAGTGCCCTGGTTGCCTTCCGCATTTCTGTGGCCTCTTGGCATCTTGAGCCACGAGACTGCTGAAAGGCCAAATTGCAGGACCATTCACATGCAAGCTGGCATCAAGGAGATGTCATACACACTCACTCAACAGCACGAATATCGGCCTTCGCAGTCTGGCTCTGAACACCCAGATCTTCATTCCATACCACCAGTAGTATGATCAGCACGAAAACCTAGCACAAAAGGCAGGTAAGCAACTTCCAGCACTCCAAGGCCAGCAATGGCCCAAACACTGGGCCTGCAAAGGCCCAAGCATTAAGACTTAATCCTTCAGGCCCCCAAAGGCCCAAAGGCAGGCTGGCAAAAGCCCAAGCACCCAAGGCCTACAAAGGCCCAGGCACCAACGCAAATAATGAATTGCTGCCAAGGTTCCTTAGGACATTTGAGTTTGAACAAGCTCATCACCAAACCATTCACATCCCATGCGCGCCTTGCTTGATTGTTTGTGCAGTTCACACATGCATGCACTCATGCACATGTCTTTTAGTCCCTATATAGCTGGCGAGCCTCACACTGCATGCAGCAGCATCAAAAGCTTGCTTGTTCAACCAGGCCACGACAATGGCACATAGCCACGCATGCACCAAACACTAACCCCCTTTAAATTTAAGCAAAATGCTGCAGGTTGCATGCACATGAAACGCTTACAAAAGCACAAATGTGCTTGCAAAAGCACAGATGTGCTTGCTAAAGCACATCAAATTATAATGTGAACTACAGAATTCCCTTGTGTTTTACTGTGTGTGCATGTACTGACATACAGAATTAGCTTGTGTTTTACAGTGTGTGCATGTACTGACATACAGAATTAGCTTGTGTTTTACAATGTGCATGCATATGAACATACAGATTTACCTTGCGTTTTGTGTTTCAACTTATATATTCAACTATATAGTTGAACATCATCATAATTTACAAAAATACGGTCGTTTAAGAAAAGACCATTTTTTTTGGTCGTTTCAAAAATTTTTGGTCGTTTGACGAAACAACCAAAAAAAGGTGGTCGTTTCAGGTTCCAGGTATATATACATCTATATACACCATGTACCATGATCTGTGGAAATTGGTGCTTCTGGAATCTGGAACTGCGGGAAAAAACACACACGTGCACACAAAAGAACTGCAAGTGCTCTGATAGGCAAACGAGCAATGACAAGTGGAGGGTGGTAAAACAGCACGCATTCAAAACAAAAAACTAACATGGGCTGGGACAAACAAATGAACTGTTACCACCTACTGATAGCTTGCACATAATATGTGTGGTACATTGTGATACAGTAGGTTGCCTTTCCGCAGCTCCCTCTTCCAGAAAAACAGGGGCCCTTATTTTGACCCTTGCGGACTGAGTGTAGATACAAACATCTCCACCGAAAGAACTTGACGTGACCTGGTCACTGGGGGTCATCACCACTCCAGTCGCCCACAACCCTTAGTCACCAGAAGCGAACTCTTCACATCCGTCCTTCGAACGCTTGAAACGACGGAGGCACTCAGGCAGTGCGAAGGCATCGGCGCAGCACCATTCCACCTGGCGGTCCGGTCCAGGACTCGGCATCCTTGAGGGAGTGAGATGTGCCAGCACCCTCAAGAAAACCTCTTGGACACCAGGGTGGTCACCTGTGACTTTGGAGACCTGCAAAAGCCACTCTAGAGGAGACCGGCTTTTGGAGGCGACTCCTGGTGGGTGTGTGTCAAACACAGCGTAAAGCAAGACGGGTCAAGACGGGTCTGAAGACGGGTCGAAACCGCACCCAGGGGGTCTGAACGCCCAGGTCCAGTGTCGGTCTGCCTATGTAATACATATCACACCATCATTATGTGTTGGAAGCTGTTTGAGATCAAGGACCAGGTTGCCAAGGGGGGTGAGGGAAAGGACCATTGGAATCGATCTCCTCCGGAAAGAAATAGATGTCGAATGGAGCTCAGTGCCATAGAAAAGCACTTGCTCAGTGCCATGATCTTGCTCAAACTCCACCACAAAGCCGTGCCTCCGACAAACGAACTCTTTCTTTTCCTAGGCTCTTAGATGACCTCCACTGACCACGCACCAACTGGCCCTGACTTCCCAAGAAGCCCCGCTCCTGGGCTCCTGGCCTTGGGCTGCAGTTTCTCCATCCATGCCACGCAGCTGGGTGACACGTCCATGGCCCAGACCTTCCAACCCTTCTCCACCAAGCGCTGCGGTAGCTCGGACGTGCCGGATCCCACCAGAAGTGCCTGGAGGAGACACATAGAGACAGAGACGTGGAGTCCCACTCCCTGGAATCATCCTCGTTACACTCCAGAAAACTAATATGGAAGCTGATAACCACTGGGTTATAGAGGAAAATAGTCTTTCAAAGGTCCATCTTCAGGTTCCATGTGGGTCTCTTCCCAGGTGTATGTGGATGAAGTGGACACATGGACCCAACTATATAGCTGGTCCAAATTCGTTTCGAGCCCAATTCGTCGGGAGGTGCTTGGTTTATCCACATGTTCTTAAGTCGTGCAGAAGTAGTACCTTGCTGACGTGACCACTGCAGCGGACTAAACCCCGGTTGCCGCACCGGCGGAGAAGATCGGGTGTGGAGCCTCAGGGCGTAGCATACAATGGGTCAGTACGCATCAGTGATGCAGGTTTCATGCAGGTTTCCTATCCCACATCTACCCAGTGACTATACTTTGGTCTCGCCTGATTTTGTCGGTTGCTCAGAAGGGTATATAAGGTTGTTGGTTGGTCCTCTGTGTTAGGAAAGGCTCGAACGCACTTGGCTGGTTTTACTTCAAGAACTATTCATCGCAAGACTCCCAAGAAAACCTACAGTGGTATGTTGGTTCTGTGATGAACACTTAAAACAAACAATGGCATCAATTGCATCTGAATATGATGCAAGTGATGCAAGCGCACCAAGTCAAAGTTCACCAGTTTCCCAATCTTGATGTGTTCGCACCAATATGCAATTCTATACTGCAAATTGACCAGGTCGTCCTTTGGTGACTGACGATCTTCGTCTGAAGACTGATGAAGATCACTCCCATCTCCCACAACTGCTGGCGTTCAGCCGTTCTGCAGCAGCTGATATACCATGATACACATAGAAACAAACAACCTGAGCGATGTTGGATCTCAACCAATGGTCACAACTCTTCGGATCGTGACCGCGCCTGTCCCTGACCGTGGTGGATGGGCAGTAGTGGCATCAAAGAGTCGGGATCGCAGTAGCAATCCTCGCTGCGCAGGGACCCTCCACGCCGCTGCAAGCTGCGGGCATAGTAACTCTCCCAGTAGTCCGAGTCCATGCCGCAGCCCCTCCATGTGCCAAAGCTGTTCCAGCTAAATGCGGAAACCAGTGGCGAGATCCAGTGTGATCTATGATCCGAATCAGGTGATTTATAAATGATCTATGAATCTATGATTTATCATTCGTATGATCTATGATAGTCCAGCAAACACTATACGAATGATTGGTGTTTGCTGGACTACACTATACGAATGATTGGTGTTTGCTGGACTACTAAGAAGTCCCACATATGGCAGTGGGTCAAAACCTCACTCACCGAGTGACCCGTGGTGTGTCCCGGTGCCACCCACAGCCAGTCGGTCAGGCCCATTGAATTGCTAGGTTTGCACACGCTGCAGTCGTTGCCAACCCCCGACAGTCACAAGAAATGACGAGAATTGTCTGGATGATTGTTGCTTCAGTATGTTCCTACCTCAGACTGAATTCACCTCTCTTCACCCACTTCACAGGCGAAATCGCACACCTTTCACACATTGATCAGAAGCTTCACATCCAGATCTCATCAGATCTCCGCCTTCTTGGATGCTGCTGTTACCCCAGCTGAGCCTGAGGCACTGACCCTGACTGCTGATCTCCCAACTTCAAAGGCTCCGGGAAATCGAGTCAACCCTGTTCCAAGGACATGGTATGCCTGAAGATCTTAGAAGATTTGATGGCATGATGGCATGAAGCCAAAAAGCAGGATCTGTTCCCAAAGAAACACCAACATTTCAATGATCCACAAGACGACGTCTTTTTGTGATGAAAAAAACAACGGGTCTTCTCGGCGTGTCGAAGAAGTCTCCATTGGGCATTTGTCAAGCTCGCTGGTGAGTGCATGCTCCGTCCCAAATTCTTTTCACCCCAGGGCCCCTTGGCTCTTTTCAACATATTTCAACCAACCCAAAAAGCAGAAAGAACAAACATCTCGAGATAGATGCGCCATCCGGTCCCGTCCCACGGTATCTCACTGCCCTGGTCGTCCCGCGGGTGCCGCGGGTGCCCTGGCAGGTGCCCTTCGAGCCGAGCGATTCGACCTGAGGCCGCTCTGTTGGAGAGTGAGATCTTTTTTATCCACAATGTTGCACCAATCGCAGCACATGTTTGTGAAACATTGTGAAACCACATGTGCGGTGAGAATTTTTGTGTTTTATTATTCTTCGGGTGAGGATGTTTCTCCTGCATGGCAAGAGATGGTAACCCAGCTTCTGCAGTTCTTCTTCAGTTTGTCGCTGAACTTGGAAGTTGTCGGTCTAAGTGAACTTCTGGGCAGGTCTAAGTGACCTCGGTTTCCGGTCATGCAAAGGTCGTGTTTCTGTAAGGAATCGCATACAGCACTAGGGTGATCCAGTTGATCTGGATAGAACTTTGCCACATTGCACGCGCACGTCACATGAGGTACGCTCCAAATTTATGGGGTGCGGCTAGTGCATCGTCCAATTTGTTGTCCCGATTTGTCCCGTTTGTCTTGGAACCATGTTACAGGGAATCGTATTTTTGTTGCTGCGTCCGAGCGTGGGTTTGGAGCATTTTATAAGTGAAACACTCTTAAGACTGTAAAATTGCACTTATAATCATCGCACATATATATTTGACACACTCTTATGAAACACTCTTTTACTATGAGTTTATGTTGTAATCATCGCAAACTTAGGCACTTCATGTGGAACTGGACCGTTCAACTGAACTCCAAAAGACCCTCCAGGCCCCACACGTTGCAGTGCCAAGACCGCCATGTTCAGCATGGATTCTCGAAAGAAACCCACGGGTTCCTCGCACGAGCCAGTGAGGAACCAACTTCACCTCCCCCAAATCCACAAAACAGCATATTATGTTTTTTTGGAGAGTCCTCGCCCATCTATAGAGTACCAGGATGACATGTTTCACTCCCCAATATATAGAATATATATAGAGAATTCCTGATTCCGGTGAAGGTGACACCGGCAGTTGGACCAAAAGCCTCCGAAAACCCGGAAAACCTGCCGCATGTCCCCGTCTCCTCCTCTTCGGCGGCGGCGTTCAGCCACTCCCAAAGCTGGCGTCCCCCTTGGGCCGCCTTGCACAAGAGCCTTGGATGCGTTGACGACCCAGCAGCAACTCCTTTCAATCAGTCACCAATGCGCAAACACACCCACAGGTTTATATTGGACACCACAAACGTGAAGGTCCAGATTTGCTTGAGATGCTCCGAAGGTCCTCCGCATCTCGAGCATCGTGATAGCTGCTCGCAGCTCGTACCAACGGCAACGTCTTCCAACTCCACCAGTTCTTTCACAACTAGCATCCCGTTTGGGCTCCTGTCCCATCTCCTCAGGTTCGGTGGTTAGACCCCCCTGGCACCCACCACAGTCCCATCTTCGAAACGGAGGTGGAGGTGGGCCAGGAGCCCTAGGGGATGGTAAGGTGCCAATCTCCTGGTGTTGGATGACCAGAACCCGAGATGACAACATGCCCCTTTGGTAGAAGTTCTTAGCTGTTTTGTTCAGCTTCAGCTTCAGCAATGTCAGTGTTTTGGGGACCAAAGCCCTTTAGGGCCCTTTGGGGTGCGGAAATTAATCCATGCCATTTGCGCTGCTCCACACAGCCTGGCTCAAGAATCATCAAAGTACACAGCGATCACTGTTCTAGAGTTTTCGAAGAAGGTCTTTGAGGGGCTGGAGACGCTCCCACTTTCAAGGTTTTTTTCCAAAGGCGTCGGCGTTGCAAAACACTTCTGAGGTTCCCAACTGCCGAACATCGTCCAGATCATCTTGATCTAGGACCTGGATCATCAGGCATCGACCAGCCAGGGATATCTAAAACCCAAAGCCAAGACAGCTGGGCCACAAAGGATCCTTCCAACAGAGAACCTCACACAAGTGAGTTGCCTCAAGACTCTGTTCATCCCACCTACAAGTGTACACCCCAAATCATCCCACTTATTGTGCACTTAATCAACCCCGCATGGCAACCAACATGGTCCATGAGAAACACGGAGAAACACTTGAAAAACTAGATCAAACATAAACCAAACGTCTCCTGCAGGTGCAGGTTGGACCAAGCAGAAACTGAATTGACATAACCCTACCGGTCAAAGACCTCTTTTTGCTGGTGTTGGTCATACAAAACCACTGCTCAATGAGGCCAGTAGGGCAAGTATTGTTCTCTGAACGTGACAATCCCGCAGTCTGAGCATGCAGTGGAATTGGTCAACAAGTCAGTCATACTTGTGGTCATAATTACTAACTGGTGGGATCTTCGATGTCCAATCGAAGTCCATCGACTATTGGCTATGGACTTGCTGAGCTTGCTGGGAAGCGCTCCGCTTTTGCCAACACTTCTTCGGCTCACAGCCTCCATGGAGTGCGAGCACTCCATAGTGCTCGGTGTCCAAGACATGTTTCGAGATGCTTTTCTGATGGAATTCCTATAGGCTTCACATGTTCTAGAAGTATTCAGGGCTCACAAAAACTCGGTCAGTGCAAACCATGTTCATCCATGGAAAAGAAACCACATCGAGGAGCCACCCTCCTGTTCGGGCCCCAAGGCCCGCAAAGGGCCGACCTCCAGCATGTCATGGGTGGTGTAGTCCCGACTGACAGTGGGACATTGCATCGCCTGACGCGTTTTGATCGAGCAAAGAGAAGCAATAATTAGGTGTTGTCTCCTTATCAAAATAGTTAAATGATGTAAAAGGTGAAGATGTAGAGTCTTGTTTTCTAGATGATTGAGTTTGTCTAAAGCACTGGATCCTTCTATTGTCAAGACTATTGTAGTGATTTCAGTCTATGATAGTCCATGCGTTGCGTTGTTCTCTTTGAGTACTGAGCCGTTTGCAAGCCTTGAAGGCACACGACTGTCCTGCCATGAACCGAGACTTGGTGGACCGTTGGATTTGCCAAAGCGGTGAACATCACCAGACTGTCTGGAGAAGAGAGGCATGGCCTCTTGGACTCATTGGGCTCTTGGAACACAATGTTCCTCTACAATTATGTGGTTTGCCACTTCCCTGTTAGTGACTCGGAGTGTATATTGTATATGGATATACACCCAGCATTCTGAACCTCCAAAAAGCACGACAAGCTGATGGACGCGTTTCAAAGCCGATGAACGCCGAAAAAAAAAAATCGTAGGTAAGACGCCCAAAGCCCAACTCACACCCTTTACCAGCCTCATCTATAAACCCCAGTGGATCCCAATTACCACTGTTTTTCTGGGTCTTTGGAACCACTGAGTGGTCCTAAACTTGTTATCCTAGTGCAGGTGGATCCACTGAGAAACACTCAACTATTCATCTCATTTCACCTCAGTTACATGCAGTGAAATCAAATCACACCCCTCCGCTCCCGTCCCTCTGGGTCACTCCCACCAGTTGGAGGCTTTCAGAGGCTCTCAGCTCGGAGAGCGCCGTCCTGCGCGGAGAGAACGGCACAGGTTGAAGAAAAGGTCTGAGCAGTGTCAGTTTGAGTAGACTCAATTATACTCAATCATACTCACACCCTTGAGCAGTGTCAGTATGATAAATGTGTGGTCTCATTTTACTTCTCATTCTTGGGGCTTAGCCAACGACCACTCTGAAGCCTCTGCGAACTCTAAGTACAAACAAATTGCCTCGGGTCGGGAAAACGACCTAAGACATCCTAAGACGTTGCAGCTAACTTCTGTAAACACACCAATGGTTCCCCAGGGTGTCAAACTTCCGGGTCAGCTTGTCAATCTCTTGGGATGGTCCTGATCTCGGATCTGATGTGCGCTGGAAGCCACTTGGATGTGACCCTCTGATCCTGCGCATCTTCCACGATGGCCACCAAACCTCGCGTGGTCGAGCCACGGACCGATCGACCAACCGGTGTCGATGCGATTTTCGGAGAAGCATATACCAAGCGAATGGCACGTGATGGCACGTGTGTCTCTAAAACCCCCGGAAAATGGATCCAACTCAGCTGAATTCTGCCAACCAACTGCACTGAGAGTAACCTGATCAGGCAAATCGCCAACCAACGGATGTCACTACAGCAAAGTCGTTCACTGAATCCTGTGTAGCGTCGTCATCTGCATCATTGATGCCTTCCTAGCATGTGTGTGTGTGTACTGTATACTGTATGCGGTATGCGTGTTGAAATAGGGAGATCCGCACAGATCCACCTGGAACAAAGGAACTGACTGTGGTAGACTGACTTATATTGTAGACTGCAAGGGCCCTGATGTATACTGCTTCCCCTACTTCATTCAAAGATCGAGTTCTCAAAAGTAGCTTGTGATGCCCCGGTTACCACGAGAGATAAAGGGGGCCCAGCAGCTAGTTCGTTCAAAGTAGCTCGAAAGCTCGAAGAAGCGATAGCTCGATTGCTCCCTCCAAACGATTGAAGCTTCAACTGGCCAATTGCTTTAGCCTGATCCCTCCAACCGGGTGGATTGGAGTTTGCTCTAGCCTGATCCATCCTGATCCCTCTGCTTGATCCCTCTGCTTCCCATGTCATGATCGGTGCCTCTTGTGACTCTTGAATTGGATCCGTTGCATCCAAGCTGCTGCTCTCCCCAAGAAGCTTGGCAAGGAGCCTCGGGATCTCGCTTCGGATCCGCCCCGGACCGCTCCATCGAGGCGAGTCCCGGAGCGGTCCGGCCCCGGCGCTTTCAAACGTATCATTGACGAACCAATATACATAAAAACCCATGTTTTCGATGGTTTTCGTGCATGAACATAGCCAGTGGTATGCCAGTGGCTATCTTTTGAATCACCTGAATTGAATATATGTATATATAATCTCCACAGTTCGTTTCCCCGAAGCAACGCTGCTCCAAGTTTCTGGGCCTTCTCTGCTCCTTGATGCTTGAGTCGCTCACTTCTCGCAAGGACCTTCCAAAAGGTAGCGACCACGCCGACAAAACAAAACAAAGAAGTTCGGCGGGCAAGAGGCGAAGAGTGCGTGCACAAGAAACATTTCACCTGAATCCTGTACGTTTTGTGGGTTGCTTTGGCCCGTTTGTTGTGTGGTTTCCTGTGTGTCACGCTGTTCGGTTCGTTGTGAACCGTTACTCGCACCCACTTGGCTGTTCGACCCAAGAACTGTACAGTGTTGTGGTCTTTTGTTGCTAGCTTTTGTGGAAATTGCCAATGCGTAAAGGCCTATTGGTATCTTACACTGACACTTATCATTTATTTATGTGCATGCCGCTGCCTTTGAAGACCTTCTTGAAAACGTCCAACTGATCATGCCAACAAATCATCTTCCACCCGCATCATGGCATCAGAACGAACCGTTTTGTGGCTGCGACACGAGGGATGGGCTGTCACGACGAAAAGGATTGTTTGACCTGTCATGACGACCTACGGTGTGACGACCTACGGTGTGACGGACAACCAAAGCACAAAGATTCTAAAGATATGATTGGACTGCGGACATTTGTTGAGTGTCTATATGATGTCGATCCTGAAATGGAGGTGTCCAATGGAAATCTGGTACCTGAGGGCCAAACACATGCCAAAACAACTTAACTTCTGGGCATCTCAACACCTATATTGAACCCCTCCCGGCCTTCCAATGTAGGGTGTGTCACTAGGTCTGTCCACTCCATCCGAGAGGGGTCGCCTCCCCGGGCAGGGCCATCCGGCCTCCAAAGTCCGTGAGCCTCTCTGGCGGACAAACCTGGGTCCAACAAACGCAGCACGAAGCGTCACGAGGTCCACTGAGGCGGAGATGTGATGAGTCCAATGGCTGTTGGGTGGATCAGTTGTTGGTGCATCACTGGGTGTCGGCTCATGACGCCCACGACCGTGCTTGATACATGAATCTAAACATGGAACCATTGGTAGTGTAATTTTTCAATGTGATGATGGCTAATCTGAGCCAGACAGCAAGGGTCACCTACAAAGAGATGGGTCCATGAACGATCACGGATAAGCTAAACCATGCAGGCGTCCAACATGACATGATGTTCTGTTCTGCAATCGAAGATCTGGTAGGAGCTGGTGTGTTGGTGTCCCTGGGTCGCCTAAAGAGGTGGTTGTCAACCAGTCATAGAGGTGCTCTTTTGTAGGAAACTCGAGTCTCTAGGGCTCAAAAGCTGCTGGTCTTCAAAAGGGAGGACATCCATCTATGAATATTTGTTATATATTAATACAAACAGAATCCCAGATCAAAGCAAAGCGACATGCATCAAGCCATCTTGAAACTTAGTTACCTCATCCACGTATATAAGTGCCTTGGGCCTCCTCGTTTAGATCTGAAAGACCTATGCATGGGCCGGAGCATCACACAGCTACCAGTTGAACGGCAGGGATGTCTCATAGTTCTACGGTTGGTCCTACAACAGCGGTAGAACAAACAAACCAACACAGTAGTCAAATTGTTGTTAGCATTACTAAGACGACTAATTATACTGGAATCTGATCAATCTGTTCTTCAGGATGCTTCAATTGGGCTATGTGTTCACAGATTATCCTTGGCAATGGTGAACCAGCCCTACCAATGTGCACATGCATCCAAAACCATTTCAGCAGCATCCACAATCTTTTCTTTGGGGAATGGCCAGGAGACAAACGCTGCGCCTTGAATTGCGCCTCTGCTGCCAGGCGGCTTTGCCCTTCGGCACCATTTGGGCAAGGGCGAGGGTCCGCTTTCGCCATGGCCAATGCCGCACTTGAGAGAGGCAGTCGTGGAGGCCGGCAGTCGTCAGCGTGGCAACGAGGACAAACGCAAAAAGATCTCAAGAAGGGCAATGCAACGCAACAAACATTTTGCAGAAACACTGGAACCACTCTCCATTTGCAACAAGAACATCCAGTTCCTTGTGCGCGGCGGATGCTCCGCAATGTGGAACACATGCTCACTTTCTTCCCGCACCGCGTGATATCCCCCGGCAGCCTCCTCATTCGAGGTTGGCAAATCTTTGGCCAGTTGAGGCTTCAAACGGCTTGTGCCTCTTCAAACTTTCATGGAACTGGTTAAGGAATTCCGTCTTTCTAGGTGAGAAGTGCAGCACAAGCGAGAGTATATCTGATCCCCATATACACGGAGGACTGCAATCCAGCCATCTTGCCTTCTGTAAGTCTTTAACCACCCTACCGTACGGGGACCCTACCTGTTGATAGCCCCGCAAGTCATAAATGGATTTCAAGGCTTGCTCTACATAAGGCTTTTCCTCCAAGAGTGATGCATCTACAGATTCATACAAGCACACTCAAGTTTGCATACTGGGCCCACAAATCTTTGAGCACTTTAAAGGGTTCCTAGTCGATCATGGGACGTGTTTCTCCCTTGCGCTTTCCCGTATCTCGGATTTCCCACATATAGGCTACACTGCGCTTCTCTGATATAGAGAAACTTCTGGATACAAAAGAAAGGCTGGCATACCGCATACCGCTGGCCAGCATGGTCTGAGTGTTGCAACATGTTGCAACATCACTGGCCGTCGACAACGTGTCATTCCATCCCAACTCGGACCACCTCGATGTTCCCCCTTTGACAATTTCTCTGTGGCATTAGGATTCAGTCGTCTCAGTGTGGCTCTATTTATTTTCCGCACACAACAATAACATAACAATAACAATACTAGTAGATTGGTCCTCGCAACAAGCATTCAAGCCACAAAACGGAAGCACACACACAAAGGTGGGAATGATCTGGAATTCTTGCACCAGCATGCGCCTGGTCCTGCATTAAAAATCCGGGTCACTCACAGCATGTGGCGGCCAATGCTGCCATAATTCCTAGATTCCTACTGCAAATGCTCGCCTCTGCCTTCAGGCAGGATGCCGAAGCGAAGTTGAATTACAGCACGAGATCTGTGCTGTTGTAGCACAATCTTGTGGGAGACTCCAGGGCACAAAGGGCAGCCGTTCCACATGGTGGACCTGGTCTCCACATCTGAAGGGCCAGTTCTGGGACCGATCCAATAATACATGCGGTGATGCCAACGGGTCTACCATGTCGTCTCCAAGACCTTCTGTGGCCTGAAGGCCATCCTCCTCGGCTGCCCACCGAGGAATCGACTCAGAAGAGCTCTCTCTTCTCAACAATCTTCACGCCTATAGTCGACACAGCGACACCGCTCTGCAGCAGGCAGCCACCCTCTCAACAGGGATGATTTGTTGGATCGAAGTGGATCGTCCAGAAAAATACCATTCAGGCAGTTGGTTCTGGAGAACATCCAGTACCAACTAAAACCACAGGTATCGACCGTAGATGTCGAGAATCCAGGGGTAGTAGACTGTTGGCATGCCTGATGATCATATCTTGACCAAGGTCCAAGGATGTCCAAGGATGTCCAAGGGTCCAAGACGCTCCCAAGGCCATCAAAAGAACACAGCAGGTGCCGCCCCAAATTCCGGTTGAGTGGCCCCAAGGTACCTCACCCTATCTCGCCGGGCGCATCGGCATTGAACGGTCGGGGTGTTTGTCACTCGGTGTATGTAGCACCACCCGAGCATCGGAGATGAACTTGGGACAAACCTGTGGGATACTCTCAAGACCCTGTGGGATACTCAAATCATGAAGATTAAACCTCTGAAACCAAGAAAATAAAGAATCATTGGCTTCTTCACCGTGAAAAAGCTTATTCTTGCTTTTTCAACATATCGAACTTCACTAGGATCTACTGAGGAGTGTATCTGATTTGACCCCATCTCACCCACGAAACAACAGAAGCTAAACACTAGTCAGCTCTGTTTTGCTAGGCTCAGGACTCAGAACCCCTCCCAAGACCCAGAACCTCTCACCAATCACTCGCCCTTCCGCGGACGTGAACTCCGAGGTCGCGCTGCACGATAAATCCGAGGTTGTGCTCTGGCCCAGCCACTGTGCGCACAAGCTTCTGGATCATTTCCACTACTAATGACGTTATTGCTCTCGTTCGTCTCATTGTGCTCCTCCTTGTCTTCATCAGCAACACCAATGACCGTCGCCTGCTGTGGAAAGTTCGCTGGGTATCAGGAATTCTGGCTATAAGCAAGCTGCCCAGTTCTACTTGCTTCTACTGCCAACAACAGGTTAATCATTAAAGTTGCTGGGTGATGACATGATCAGAGTCAACAAAATCATCTATCGTGTGATCGTGTGCGAATCTGACACTTTCTTTATGAGGAGTGTATCTGCAATCACTTGTTCAACAACCTGACCAAGCTACAATGACGATAGGACTCACTAGTAAACTACAACTAGATTCTAGATCTAAATAAACCTAAGCACTTCCTAAGAGTTCCGGGAAAGTACATATAACGATCGTGGTTTGGTGCGTCCCGTTTTTTTGTTGGCTCACACTCTTTCCCAGTGATGCTTCAATTGGCATTTAATTGACCTTGCTTCCTCCTCAATGTTTTTGCTGCATTCTCAATTCATCTCCTTACCGTTTCATAGATTTAAGACTCCCAATGGTGAAAACTATTTAGTTAAATCATGTACTATTGAAACGCTATCAACCATAACCTACACACTCTACCCGTAAAAAGATATTGCCCTTCAAAATGAGCGAAGCGTTTATGATGAATCCTACTCCACCCACCTGACGGCCACGGCATACGCGCGCATACACGTCATACGGCAATACGCGCGGCCTGCACCACGACGGGAGGTGGCGCAGCTTCTGCATCACCTGGCAGTGCATGGGTAATGTGGCCTGTTGCCCGCCTAAGCTGAATGGAGCACCACCCAGTTGGAGAGGTTTATGGCGGTTTATAGACTCCCCTGACCATGTAATGCCCTATAACCACCCAAACCTGGGTGGTACTGGTATGGGGGGCTTTGCTGCTAGCTCATGTCGGCCAGGTCGGACCAGGCAGCGTCACCTGCATAGATAGCTGAAGATACTCTGCAAATGCCACACATTCTGCCTGTCGCAGTACTGTAGCATAGTATTATATTATATGCAGTACTCATGCCTGGCACCCAATCAGATCACGACATTGAGGTTGTCAGGATAAGTTATCTTGAACAAACATATTAAGTTGCCACAATGTCACCATGCACTACCTAGGCATCTGGTACTGCACAAGAACCTGAACCTGCCTGATGGGAGATGCCTTCTGTCCATCCTAATCTGTCCAGCCATCAATGATCATACGAGTATGAATCAAGCATGTGAATTTGTAAAGCAACATATCATGAATAGCAATAGCGTCGTAGAAGCGAAGTGACCCCTCTTCTGGAGTGCCGACCATCCACCATATGGTCCCTGTTCCTATCACTGTCACATGCATTCTAAGGATTTTACTGATTCTTACGGTGAACAGGATAAGTGCGAGAAATGCCTTGAACCGTCTTGCCCATCGGACCGACCATGTTGTGGGAGGAGGCTCTCCCTGTGAAGAAAAAAGGCACTCCTATGCATTCCTAGCTACAATGTCCAAACATGTCCAAACTATAGGAGAGTTATGCTCGACTGGGTTTTCATAACCATCATTGGCTAGGTATCGCTAGGTCGAATTGCCTGCTGGGAGGGTCATTGAATGTCATTAGTTCACTGCATGGCCACCGTCTTCCGCCTGGATCAGGCACCACCACGACAGGCGTGGAAACCCCAGGGGAGCCGTCCGGCGCCGTAGCCACTTTTCTGCGCTGGAGGCGTATGAAGTTCACGGCATAAGGCCAAATCGTGCAGACCTCCAAGAGGAGTCCACCTGCAACGGGTGGTTTTTCCCGATCTCTAAACAGGATACTCAAGGATGACTCAACCAAGTCCCCGAACGTTCTTTAGAACAACAAGGGGGTCACTCAGTGCTCCCGCTCCTTGTGACCTCTTGCTGCTTGGACCGTGGGAATTGCAGGCGGGGAAAAAAGAAACGTTTGCCGTCTGCGGGATGTGTGCAGTTTTTTGACGAAGCAAACTGGAAGGATGAAAAGCCACAAGTTTCTCAGGACATCCACAGGAACTGCCCTTGCAAGTAGATACAAGTAGTAATTTAGGGGGCTCGTCCGACTCCATGTCTTTCTATCTCAAACATCTGGTAGCCCTCTTGGGCCTATATATACAACATATCCTTTGATGACAATCAAACTGAGAAAACATGTCAAGAGTCAAGACTATTCAAAACTCATCATCGGCATGTTTTGATGCAGCCTTATTGATTCTTATTGTTGAGTGTATTTGGTACTGATGACCGAGGACCATTTGGACATAGAAACAGCATGCAAAACAAATTTGAGAGATGACATTAGGGGTCCGTCATACTCCGCAAACCTGAATCATAGTCCCAGTGACCTGCACCCCTGGGACCATGCTTTCCCCTTCTCCAATGGTCTATTTTTTTGAAGAAAACACCACACCAAAACAAAAACATCAACAACATACACTCCGAGTCGGCATGGAAGTGGATGGCACCACCGTCCTTTGGTCTTCGGAAGCACCGGTCCTTTCGGGGCCATATACCGAAACCACAGTCGATTTCTTCAGGGAGGAACACATCGTTCTCCACTCCGAAACCGCTGCGACACGAACCGAAACGAAACCGCAGGGACGCAGATGGCGAACTCCAGCCTATCACCAGTGGACATAGCAAACCCAGGGGTCCCACATGAGGAAGGATCAGAGTCCAGCAAACTTGCATCCAACGCTTCATGTTCGGCTCATAGATCAATTCAATCGCTGCCGGGCAAACGAGTTTGAAGGAAACGACCCAATTCCAGAAGGACC